AACTCATTATCCAATAGATGAGGGACACCTCACTTGTCCCCTTTATTGATCCCATATTTTGGGTCCCTGTAGCAAAGCTCTTTATCACGATGGAAACAGTGCAAAGCTAAGTAACTTTATGAATGGCAGGTAAAATAAGACATGTTTACCTTGGCAAGATCAGAATATTTGATGGGCAAAACCTCTACAGAAGGAGCTTTAGAAACATCAGGAGTTATTCTGACATGAGCACCAGCTTTCAGCTCAATTAAGTTTCCAGTTGGATTGCAAACTTGTAGTTCTGGACCCATGGTGTCCAGCATTACCTAAAAATAAAGTCCTGGAGATGATTATTTCCAAAAGATTTGGATGCATGAAAAAAATTCTGAATAAGAATTGAGAGGAAGTATGAATAAACGTTCTAACGATATTAGTGAAACCAGGGAGAAATGCGCAACGATTCTTTAATTATTTCAAATATCAAGTACTACCAATATTAGTAAACTGGTCTATCTGGCAGTGCCTTGTAATTCTTTAAAAAATCATGTAAACAGAATATAGTAAAGGACAACTACATGAGGATGCAACAGTATATTGTTTCTGTTAATGCATGAACCCCCAAGTATGTACACTTTCATGGATCATGGAAATACACAGAATATCAAGCCATTATAGCTGGATTAGTTCACTTTATAAGATCAAATAAACTCGAGTTAAAATAGACAAAGAAGACGAAAAATATATGATCTTTCAACTTACAGCACATAGCTTTTTAGAATTCTTCATGGCTGTCCTCAGATTATCAAGAGCCTCCTGATGATACTCAGCATTTGACCAAGAAAAATCAAATCGTGCCACTACGAACAATCAAAGCATATGCATATTAGTCAACAGAACACAACCAAGTCTTCTCTTAACAAAAAACTCCCATACAAACCTGACATTCCTGCAGATAAACATGCCTCGATTGCTTCAACAGAATGTGATTTTGGCCCAAGTGTCCCAACTATCTTAGTCAACGAAGGGAAGAAGGTCTGCAGATTTTGATTGTGATCAATATAATTCAAGCTAGACAATGCTATTTGCATTTAGATTATGATGGTACCATTATAGGTAACGATTGCATAAAATGCAGATTGTGGCATAGTAAACGATTAACAAAAGTAGAGAATAGGTGGTATTTTCTTGTTGACCATGGCCCGTGGGCAGGAGAAAATATTAAGGCATTCCGGTTGAACGTGCATTTTATCAATGTTGTCAAATATAACAAAACAACAAATATCGATTTCTCTTGTTATGTGTTGACAGTCAGCTGCTACTATATGCTTCTAGCTCTACATCTCAACACAGGATAGCTAAGTGTATCTTACCTCTTATATCAATATCAATAACTTTTAGTAAAAAAATAAAAATGACATAAAATTATCATTTTTTAATGCACTTCAGTGTCCCAACATCACTTCCATTGAAAATTCTACCATCTAAATTGAAAAAATAAAAAAGGAACAAATTTCAATACCCACAATGTCTATCGGAAGGAAGGAGTTCATTGAAGTAAGGATTACTTGGAGCCTGTAATTTCAATCATATGATGATGAAATAAAGCACGAACACCTCCATACTAATTCCTATTAAAAGGATGGAGGATCATCAACAAAGTTCAATCTTTTTGATTAGTGATATTCATCATCAAGACGTAATTGCAGATCGATTATATACCATAAGATTTCCTTAAGAGTTAATTCTAGTTTTATGAAAAGGATCATAAACCTAATTTAAAAAAAAAATCAATTCCACTAACATCAGCGCAGATCACAATGCAAGAACAACAACGAGCTACTAAATTACCAAAAAAATCCAAAATTAGAAGGGAAAAAAAAGGAAAATTTAATCAGATCGAGAGACGAGAACGGTTACAGATTTGGACGCGTTGAGAACGGAGGCGAGCCTCACGGGCTCCTCCAACACCATTTGCCCTCCTTGCATCGATCCAAGAAAAACTAAGCGAAATCTAAAATCTAGGGTTTTTTTTCTCTTTTTTCTTTTTCCCTTTTTATTTTTGGGTGCGATTCTTCCTCTCTACGAGAGAATCGAGTTCGAGGGAGGAAGAGGGAGAGGGAAAGTGGCGCTTATTTAACGTAGGTCCCGGAGGGGGCCCACGATGGGAATTAGAATAAGGAAAAATTCTTTAAGGACCCAAAATATGAGACTAATAGAGGGGACAAGTGAGGTGTCATCTTCCTATTGGATAATGAGTTGGTCATCATTAATGATGGCTAACTCATTATCCAATAGATGAGGGACACCTCACTTGTCCCCTTTATTGATCCCATATTTTGGGTCCCTGTAGCAAAGCTCTAGAATAAGGGAAACGTGCTGCGGAAGAGTCGCCGGTAGTTGCTGTGGTTAGAGTAGGGTCAAATCTAGTACTCTTTAATAATAATATGAGGATTCAAGATTTACTATTCATGCTAAAAAATACTATAATAAATTATTGTAGCTTTGTTACTTAGTATAGACAGAATCTAAGATTCACTATTCATATAATAATAAATTACTATAGCATATTATTGTAGCACAAGCGAGAAACGTAACGTTTAAAAATATTACTGAAGCATTTTTTTTGCTATAGCTCAGGTGGGATACTATAACATTTAAAAATGTTATTGTAGCACTTATAAAAAAAACTTTATTTAAATACGGAATTAATATAGCAGAAATAGAAAAATGGAAGTCGTGCTTTACACGGGGTGCACACTAGTGAGTATAAGGAAAAATTCTTTAAGGACCCAAAATATGAGACTAATAGAGGGGACAAGTGAGGTGTCATCTTCCTATTGGATAATGAGTTGGTCATCATTAATGATGGCCAACTCATTATCCAATAGATGAGGGACACCTCACTTGTCCCCTTTATTGATCCCATATTTTGGGTCCCTGTAGCAAAGCTCTAGAATAAGGGAAACGTGCTGCGGAAGAGTCGCCGGTAGTTGCTGTGGTTAGAGTAGGGTCAAATCTAGTACTCTTTAATAATAATATGAGGATTCAAGATTTACTATTCATGCTAAAAAATACTATAATAAATTATTGTAGCTTTGTTACTTAGTATAGACAGAATCTAAGATTCACTATTCATATAATAATAAATTACTATAGCATATTATTGTAGCACAAGCGAGAAACGTAACGTTTAAAAATATTACTGAAGCATTTTTTTTGCTATAGCTCAGGTGGGATACTATAGCATTTAAAAATGTTATTGTAGCACTTATAAAAAAAACTTTATTTAAATACGGAATTAATATAGCAGAAATAGAAAAATGGAAGTCGTGCTTTACACGGGGTGCACACTAGTGAGTTTGGTGCGAGGAACTTAGTTGCGGTGGTTTTTTTCTATATTAGTCCTTTACATATTTGGTATTACGAAGTGGGTTTCTCAAATGATTGACAAAGTTTGTAAGTTGTTTCTGGATTAGTCCCTCTTGTTTATTATCATGGCATTTGGAGGCATATAAGAAAAACCTTATTTCTACCTTGATTTATTTCATTAAACTTTATAAAACTATATAGTCTTTTGTTTATTAAAAAAAGTATATAGATTTCATCTATGTTTACGGAAAACCATTAATTAAAATATTCTAGAAATAACAAAGAGAAATAATAAATATTCAATTGTATAGGCTTTATCTACGTTTATGGTAAAACATGAATAGAATGTTCTGGAAACAATAAATGGACAAAATCTTTTTTGTTAAATTACCTTTTTACTCTTTCAACCATAGTAAAAGAGAGGGCATATCCGCCACTCATTCATTTTTTGAATTGTCCTCATTTGGCTCATTATATAACTACCCATTAAATATCTCTCATCTCGAATATAAAAGGGTACACATTTATTGAGGGGACAGAAACAACTAACCATCCGTTGTTAACCACTAATCCTACCAGAGTTTGGCTCATTAGAATAGAGAGACTAATTTGAGACAATTTATACGATTTGAGGACCCAATAGTAATTTCAATGATGTAAAGGATTAAATTTCAAAATATTACAACTCAAAATTTATTTTTCTCTCTCTCTTTTTGGGCATCGGCCCATAAATTTTCGTTTAAAAAGAAAATCCTTCGAATGAGGTGATTTGCTTTGCAAGCAGCCATTTTTCTCCATTTATTTTCCCATGCTTTGGTAATTTTGTGAGTGATCCAAGAACCCATCATTTTAGAATCACCCTTCATTGCGATGCAAAGTTTTACGAGAATGAAATTGTGGAATCATGACATATAAATTTTTTATGTAGCATGATTCCATATGTTGGCTGCTTTTGTATGGCCCATGATCCTCTAATTAACAGAATTTGAAAAATGATGCATGCCACATGTTTGTGCATATGCCTAGCTCAGTATTAATCCCTGCAACTGCTCGTCAACGCAATAGTTCTATATCGACATCTTAATCTTTATGTGAAATTGTTTTATTTTTCCTCGACGTATATGTGTCCTTGGGTTACAAAATGCAATGTTATGTGTGATTGCACTATCTTTTGCAAATAATTTGTTGGATATTTTATTAAAGAAAAGGCAATTTAACATGTTTTACATATTTTATTTTCCTCGGCAATTAATACGTGCATAATGGCTATATAATTATGACGAACGTTACCGTATTAATTACGGGTTTATTGCATAACGGTCGACATTATGGCGTACGTTACTGTATTGATTGCTAGGATTTGTAACGGCTCTCTAAGACCCCTGTATAAGCAGCCATTCACATTCTCAGAAAAAAAACAAGAAAAACAACATGTCTCTCCTCTTCATATTATTTCTTCATAGTATTGGTTTTGTTTTTGGGCAACTTTCTTCATTTGAGCAGAAGCTCTGTACTCTCGCCCGAGTACAGAGACCGGCCAATTCCGGGGGTTTTTACCGCTAGGGGAGAGATGATCATCTGCGTTAGGGCGATAGGCGGGTTCTCAATCTTCTAGGACAGTGAATACACGACCGCTCCCGATCAGGCCAGATTTAATTATTTATTTTTATTCGAATTTAATTTACATGCTAATTTAAGTTTACTTGATTTTTTCCAACATAATTGAATTTACATAACCTCCCATTAATTGTAGTTTCAACTTGCCGATGCTTTTCTATTTGTGAATATCCCGTCTGTGTCCATTCCTGTACGCTTGTTTAAGAAATTGCTACAAAAGATGATGAATACGATATCAACATCTTACTTTGTATGTGAAACAGTTACATGAACTAGACACTGTTGAGTTACAATAGAATGCAACCTAATTAATGTTTGATTGCACTATCTTGTTGTTAATACTTTTCATATGCTTTAATTGAAAGCAACACCGTCAGTGTGAAATTTATGTAATCTTTGCAAATATCCTATCTTGGTCGATTCCTCCATTAAACTTGCTCATCCCCAAAAAACTCGGATCGACAAGTGCAGCCAAGGCTGCAACTAACCCAGCATTTCTAGCAATTGTAGGCTCTGTGAACTTGGGCTGATCTCTTTGATCAGTAAACTTATCATCATAGCTTGGACCAGCAACCATGGCTCCAAGCAAAGTATTCGGGTTCGGATCCTTCGATAATCTCCATTTTTCACCTTCTGAGCAGTTATAATGCTTTCCATCCCAAGGGATTGATGCAGCTCTATGGTGAACTTGTTTTGGGTAACGGTCTCCAAAGCCAACGACGTAGCTCATTTTCATAGGATTTTTGCCTAGGATGTAATTTATCTGCATAATAGAGAGCACTGGAAAATAAGTTTATGCCAGTGACGTGGGATATGCAGTCTCAAAAAACATAAAACATGTATACGTGCACGTTAATATGTATGCATACATAGTATACTTAATTTTTTCATATATACACTTAAAAATTTACGGTTAATTGCGAATAGGCCTCCTGTAGTTCTATTGATGTAGATGAACCCTTGAGTAACTTTTATTGATGTAGATGAACCCTTGAGTAACTTTTATTGATGTAGATGAACCCTTGAGTAACTTTTCACTCTTTTACCCTCATATAGAGAGAAATTGTTTTTTTTAGACAAATAGATTTCTTGAGGATAAAAGAGTCAAAAAAGTTCAGTCAGAGGGTCTCTCTGCAACAAAGAGCTATATCTGCTATCAGTGATAGTACAGAGGGTCTACCCACAATTACTAAATATAACTTTTGTTCTATGTATAATTTTTATTATATACATACTTAATTTGTGTTATCCATTCAAACTAACCTTAAGATTTAGATAGTTCAAACCATAAATGAAATTTCAATTATTTTCTTATATACAAATGGTTCTTCAGCAATATCTTATAACTGTTTTTTCCTTCTTTGGTTTTGTTTTCTCATGTAATAAGAGCCAATGTCACATGTATATTATGCAAGATAATGACCGCAAAAGTATCTGAAAAGTTTTAAGAGGCTAAATATGATATCTTATGAGCATTGAAATTATTTGTTCTCATATCTACGGACACGGATCGTGTCGGTGTCAGAATTTAATTATCATTTGAATGCATACTTGCCTGTGAATCGGCAAAATTTTTCAGTGCCTGTGGTGAAAAAGAATTGGCGCTGCAACTCCTAGCAGGGACTTGAAGGATGTTAAGGTAGTCACTATAGAGTTTACTAAGAAAAGAAGCTGTTGAAGCAAATTGGAGAGATGAACTGATGTTAAATGGCGATGGGAGGATCAGTCCACCTACATAATCAAAATCAAGGTCAGTTTTATGTTAATTATTGGTTTATTTATTTCTATATTGTCCAAGTTTATACTAGTGACCTATATAAGTTATGATATACACTATGAATCCAGAAAACTGACATTTACCCGGTGTCACAGTTTTTACCCATCCCATCCATTTGGGTGGAGATAGATAAGAACACATAATTGCATCAATCATTTCTGAGCAGTGTTTCAGTGTATCTTCATATGGGTATCCAGGATCATGGAGATATCTTAACCTCGTCAGCAAAATCTACAAAATTCTGAATAATTAGATTCAACATGACAAAAATTCATCAGGAAATTTTTGTGAAGTTTTACTCACTGCATTAGCTGCAATCTTGTTATTCCAATCAAAAACCCTGTTATCTGACACCGTATCATTTAATGCAAGCTGAAATGTTTCAGTTGCATACTGAAGATGAGAAAAATCTCCGGTAGCAAAGAACAACCATGTCGATCCCCAAGCTAGTTCATCCAAAAAGCTTGTAGATTTGTAGAAATCTCTTGATGCATCTCCACATTCTTTATTCGAAGAATAGGTTCCTTGATTCTTGTTGTTCTTTGCGGAGTTAAATAATTTTTGAGCAGTTTGAACCAGTCTATTTGAATAAGCTTTGTTTTCAATGAAAATTAAGGATGCTGCTGAGAGTGCTGCTGTAATTTCTCCAGCGAGATCAGAAGCAGAGGTTGTGCAAGTTGATATTGGTCTGCTGTATGTCATGTCTTCGGGTCTTTGCCAGCAGGTTATGTCGTTGTTTGGATTAGTGCTGGTGTCTGTGCTCCCAACCTAAAGTGATAGTTAGTTTATTGCATAGGAGAAATAAACTAGAAAAAAAATAATCCATCAAATTTTGACATGCTTCACTTGACGAAGAACCTAGTCAAATTTAGCAAACAAAGGTTGAATTTTCATTTTACTGTAAAATTTGAGGATTAGATGCATTTTTGTGCCCTTTCAAATTCAAACATCAACTTTATCCTGTCAATCCTCCTCTACTATTGCGCAATATACTACTTAGTCTTACAAACAAAATTTCAGAAAATGAGGATGAGTGCCTCATATAAAACAAATACATTTTGCAGAGGAGCACAAGTTACCAATTCATGCCACTAACTATTTTCCATGATAAAAATTTTCTTCATATAAAATGTTCTTGCCATAGCATGCATTTTTATGCTTGGATGTTTTTTTGTGGGTTTGATCTACATATCTTACTTTTCTGAAAATACATGAGTTAAATGAACGTGTTACTCCAATATGGCTTCTTTTAGAATTGAAGTATTTATTTTGTTTCATTTTCTAGTTTAAAGTTCTTTTCCATATGATCGTAAACTTGAACATAGATCTTTATATGTGAAGTATGCATATATTCATAGATAATCAAGTATTGGTTTTTCTTATTTGCAGGTAGACAGTTTCTCCTATTTTGCACTTTGTAGTGTTTTTTACATGTAAATATCATTTTTTTTTTGGAATCCAATAGAACTAAGTCTTATAAGAGGAGTGTATGATCACCCAAACTCGTAGACACACCAAAGTTGTGTTCTTTGTGTTATCCCTCACGCACCATATATCAATTATTACACAAAACATACAAATGTTTATGCAAATTAAAACATAAAAAAAAATAGAAATAAGAAAACCTTTACCTGAGAATATATCAATCCTTCATCCTCTGAATCTCCAGGAACAAAGAGCTTCAACAAATAATCACTGCCCCACTTTATAATATCCTTTACATGATCAAGCTGCCCCATTGCTGAATACTTCTCATGATACTCAGCTACACTCCAACTCAATAGAGTCACAGTATAAGCAGTAGTGAAACTGAACTTGATATTACTCCCAGAATCATAAAAACCACCAACAAGGCTTGCATTATTCCTCTTTATATCGACGTCATTCAATCCCGAATCTCCTCGAAACTTCACTGGATTGTTCCTTGGAAGAATCCCAGCTGCAGATATAACACAATATCAGAAAACTTTCATGTAACCAGTCTGTATGTGAACAAAACCATGTTGTATTACATTTTTGTGCATCGAAGAAAGAAAGTGTGTGCTCTAGCACGAGAGGCAGATTGCTGGAAGGCCCGCGATCATGATGCTTATGATGAAGAAAGACAAATAAGAGGACTGCGACGATGATGAGGAGAACCGAGGCGATATTTATGAACACGAACCGTTTGAATCGGGATCTATCAGCTATAGCGAGACGGAAGCTGTATGATTTGGAGTATTTGGAAATGGTATCGTCATGCGGTTTTGACGAAGGGAAAATGCTTCCGAACTCGACCTCTATGGAGTTCCATCGGCTCGCTGAGGGGAGGAGGCGGCCTGTCTCAGGGATGGCGTGCACGAAGATCGAAGAGGCTTCAGACATGTTGATATAATTTGAATTCGGAGATTGGCTTGTTTTTTTATGGGATGCATATGAAGAGTTATTGTTCATGAGTTTGTGATGAGTATGTCGATGGAATCAAGGGGTCCTGCGATTACTACGAAGATGCTCTTTTTGGTCTTATATGTAAGTAGTGTTTGATGCATAAAGTATCCAAAAGTCGTCCCATTTTGGCTATAAGGAGAAAAGGCCCATTTGGGGTTGTAATATTGAGTTAAAACTTATAAGTGTCCAATTTTGATGGATACAACAGAATCAAGGTCTGCAATGGTGAGGTATATTTTTATGGAAAAGTTCAAGAGTAGAGATTAATTGATGGTGGAGGTTGATATTTACAGAATTAAGGATCCTCTCTGCTCTCGGACAGTTTTATATTACATAATAAATGGTTGTGATACATCTTGAGCGAATGAGAATGAGTGCAAAATCATGAGAGATACAGTAAAGATTATATGTGAATCACAGCCGTATTTAGTATTTACTTCTTATATGACGACTAGTGTGCACCCCGTGCAAAGCACGGCTCCCTTTTTTATTTTCGTTACAGTAATTCTTTGTAAAAGCTACTGTATTTTTGTAAAGGTCGTAGTATTTTTTTTAAATGCGATAGTATACCAGCTTTGTGCTACAGTGATATCACTACAGTAATATACTGTAGTATTAGTGTAACATAAATAGTGATTCTTTGGATCCTCCTATAAACGTAGAGGAGTAGATATCGCCTTATACTGGAGTAGACGACCGGCTTGGGTCAAATAGCACCTTGATCAGAAATCTCTGTTAGTCTATTTTGTTTTCTAACATTTCTCTCATCTCCTCCTACAGGGACTTCTTCCTCTTCTTAATGTAGACACAACCGTCAAGTGTTGATCGATTGTTGTGAATCTTGTAAAATAGTGGTCTCTGCACTGCTTTTCGAATAGATTCGAATAGGAATCTAGGAACCAAGCCTAATAAAATCTCTTGATCAGATACTGTAGCACTGTATTCAAAATGTAATAAAATGCCAAAATTTGATCGCAGGAAGGGGAACAGAGAAGCTGATGCTAGATGGGATTTGCTAAAATACAGTGAAAATGGTCGTCTTCATGATAAAAATAACATAAAAATAAAATAAAATAAAAAAATTTCGTTTACATTCAACAGACGACTTCAGGAGTTAGGAGGTAATTATCATGATTCATCACTTGAATTCTAGTTAAATTAGGAGAATGATGTGAAATATTCATTTGGAAATCATTATAGTTCAGATCCCATAAGAGATTGAAAACGATTTTTTTTTCCCCGAAATACTTTGATATGTTTTGAATAGAATGATTATTATTAAATTGTTTGTATGGCTGGAACTTACAACTTACGCCGTCTCTCATTGTAAAGTCAAACTATTTACTGGATGCTGAAAGTTCTTGATCTGTTTTACTTTTAGAAATTCTCTTTTTGCCTTTTTGTTTTCTTGCACTTTCCATGATCTTCGTTAAAATAGTCAGTCATAAAAAGTCAACCTCCAACATTTAATATTGGTAGACTACTACTATTACTAATTTTTATTTTAGTTACAACTACTTATGAAAATTCTCACTTGCCTTTTTGAGCCCAAGCCCGTCCATGTCGCATCGTCGTTGCCTAAAATAATCATTATATTATGGGTTAATTTAGCTACCCTATAGTTTTCCCTACTTTTCAATTATATACCCTCACTTGTTTCTGATGGTAATTTTATACCCTAAGGCCCCGTTTGACAAAGGGTTAATGAAGAGGGGTTAAAGAGAAGGATTAATGTACTTAGCCCATCATGCAGAATCCTCCCGAAGGAGAAAGTCAGTCTTGGAGCGCCTCGGTCCACTTCCCGAGGAGCGAAGCGAAGCCCCGATCCAAGAACGTTTGGACCCACTACGAAAGCCCCAAACAACGCAACATGCTGGGGGTCGCCCCAAGCGCACTACTTTGCGCATTGAAGTTCAGGAGCCCGCTGAGAATTCACGCCCAAAAAGGCATGTCTCAAGGCGCGTGACTCTTGAAAGTCCAAGGAAAAGAGAAGGATTAATGTACTTAGCCCATTTGATAATCCGAATGACTAAATTATTAACCCGTTAAATAAATTTTATTTTAGCCCATATGATCAGTTTTGGTGTTTGGGAATAATAATGATTTTGATTATTTTCTTTATAATTAGAAGGGTTAACTATTATTCCATCTAAATAGGAGTATTAGTAAACCCCTCATTTTGAGGGGTTAACTCATTTTAACCCTTGTAGAGGGGTTAACTTAACCCTTCTATATTTTTTTGTTTGGCAAATTATGAAGGGTTAACTCACTTTAACCCTTAGGGGTTAACTTAACCCTTCTATATTTTTTTGTTTGGCAAATTATGAAGGGTTAACTCACTTTAACCCTTATATAGATTTGTTGTGTTTGGCAGGTTAAGGGCAAATTATGAAGGGTTAACTCACTTTAACCCTTATATAGATTTGTTGTGTTTGGCAGGTTAAGAATGAGTTAAATCTCCTTAACCCCTCACTTAACCCTTTGCCAAACGGTACCTAAAGCTTTTAAAATTTACACTTGTATACCCTCACTTTTTTGGCAGCACTAATATACTCCTTAAAATTTTTTAAACTCGCACTTATGTATCATAAAGTTTTTAAAACAGGCACTTAAATAGGTGTGTTTAGATACCATAGTGATTCTTTTATGGTGTTTTTCTTAGAAAACACAACACCATTGTGTTTTCTTTTCCAAAAACATTTCCAAAATACCACTGTAAGTTCGTTTTGTCAAAGTTAGTTTGACATTTTCCTTACATATATTATGATATTATTATACAATTATATAACATTGACAATGCTGATAATATATTATATCAATTATATTACAATATTATATATTGTGTATATTATATTATATTGTATTTCATAATATATTTTAATATATTATATCAGTTATCATATAATATCAGTATATTATCATACATTTTATTATCAGACAGTAGATTATATAATATATTATAATACATTATATTAGAATTAGTATATTCAACAATTAATTACATTAACTGCAATATAATATTAAATAATATATTAATATTTTTGTAGTAATAAATTATAATATAATATATGTATTAATTACAATCCAATAAATTATTCATAACATTAATTACAATCCAATAAGTAACATGTTACTAGTTTTGTAGTAATAAATTATAATATAATATATGTATTAATTATTACATATATTATCGTATATTTTATAATATTTGCTTGAAATATAATAAATTAATATAATGAAATATTGTATTACACTATATATTATACAATAAAAATATATCATGTTGTATTTTATAAAATATAGCTTGTTATATTTTAAATAATATTTACAAGATTATATTAATTAACTAAATAGATTATATATAAATTATAATATCATTATATTATAATATGACATAATATAATATAATAATATATATTAAATTAATTAAATAGTATTAAACAATTCACCAACAATGTAATATTATATTATAATAAATATATTATATTAGTTAATATGATTTTATATTATATTAAGAATGATTAATATGTTATGTTAATTATAACATATTAAATTTTATATTACTAAACTCATAACATCTCCCAAAACTCAAAACACAAAAGTTCAAAACACCTTTTTCATGTTTTGAGATAAGAATTTTTATTTTTGCGTTTTGTCCATAAGTGTTCTGTTTTTCTTCAAAAACACAATGGTATACTATCCAAACATGTTCTGTTTTTGTCTTGGCAAAAACACCATAAAAACAAAGAAAACACCGTGGTTGCCAAACACTCTAGAAAACTTGAGAGTATTTAAGTACAAGTTTTAAAAACTTTAGAGTATTTAAGTGTCATTTTTTTTAAAACTCCGAGTTTTAAAAACTTTTAAGGTATATAAGCGCTACTTAAAAAAGATGAGGGCATATAAGTGCAAATTTTTTAAAAAAATTGTATACAAATACTTGCAAAACGAGGGCACATAAGTGCAAAGTGGGGGAAATTATAGAGTATTTAAGTGCCATTAAGCCTAATATGGCCTGTAGAACTAGGATACCCTCCGTGGTAACGGAGGCTGTAACCCGATAAAGATATCGGTTTGAGTCCTCAAATTTGGCAAGTAACTTCAAATCTATTATTATTTTTGGATAGAGTGCTTAATTTGAAAAATCCTAATACCCAAGTAACCCAACGATGAGAAAATGGTTCGGTATAATATAAAAAAATTGCACAACACTTGCATATATTCGAGATGCTAACAATATACCAATAAACTAAAATTATTGTATGTAAGTAGATACGTAGATATATGTCGGATATATTGTACAATGTTAGCTTGGAGATATTTTTTTATTATTTATAATGTCACTATTCGTAAAATATTTAAAGTATATTTGGTTAGGCGTACCAAAATTAGTATGATCAAGATGTTTCATATTCTTCGTTCTGGTTTTGCTACTATTTTATTAATAAAGTATCTATAGTATTGAATTAGGTATATGTTGTACTATCATATCTTTATCAGGTTTGAATATAAATATAATATGTATCCAATTATTATCGTGGCCATTTTTGGAAGTCTAGGACCCTATCACTCTTAAAACACAAACATATAGTCCAATAATTTCGGTCTCACTTACTTAAACAAGTAGATATAAGCAACAAAGAGGTGGCAACCAAAGAGTAAGTGTTACTTCCATTACAAAATCAGATGTCCATCAATTCATGAAAATTCAAGATTCAATCTGATCATAAAAGAAAAACCAAAGTGAATGATATTGACTTTCTTAACTCGAATCACAACCATCCACGAGATAATAAGCGGTAGCGATAGTTCCGTCAAGGTTACACGTGCACGTGCACGTCAAGCTCCAAGATGGCTTCTACGTTACCGAGCTTGTGTGACCTCCAGAGCACATATCCTCTCGCCATTCGAAAAACGCCGGTCCCACCGACAACCGGCAGCTCCCTGACCGGAGACGTTATCGAATTCCTCCCCGTGACGGTCAACGTGCTCCCGTTATACTTACGGTTGACGAACATCATGTTCATGGTCACTAGGAAGGCGATCTCGGTGCGTGATGCAGCGGAATATGAACCTTGCGCGCGCCCAAGGAGCCCGGACGTTAGGTTCGGGCCCTCGGTCAGAGGATCGTCGAAGATGATCACATCTCCGAAATTGGCGGAGGACATGTTTGCGTCCGGCACGACTTTCCAAGCGGTCTGGTTCGGGCCGCTGACGATGTCGTGCATGTAGAGGTGGAAGTGGGCCCGGCGTTTCGCCTCCGCCGTGGCGGACGGCCACGTAACGACGGTTGTGGAGGAGATTAACAGGAAGAGGATCGTAGAGGGCTTGAGTGGGGGAAGGGACATATTTGGCTTGTGGAGTAGGCTTATGTAAATATTTTGAT